CTTGCTTATGCTCGGATTCAGGGAAAATCTGCTCTTATTGCTCATTTTCAGAATTCAAGCTTGATGAATGAGGATAAACGTTGCCGACCTATCCTTTTTCATACTGATGGCCCTAATGCTGGAGATCCGGTATGATATATACACGTACATTCTACTCACCTCAGTTTTGTGACTATTCCCCCGGTAATGGGTAATTATCATGTAGTTCATTATTTACTCAAATGTTTTTCCGTATTCATGTTACCAAAAGAGAAGGAAATTATTTTGGACCCAAACTTGCTTGAGTGATTTCCTGAGTTAAGACGCTGACAAATCTGCTAGGCAATTGAAATGGGATATTATTATAAAGGTTTGAATTAAATATTTTCTGGGACGCAATGCTAAATCACCTTTAAAATTTACTTGCTAATAACTTACTGGGCCCTTATGTCCATTTCTGCTAATTCATGGTTCCTAGATTAAGGTCTTGACTGGAAGCATCTTTTGATGACTAAACATGGTGTTTATTTGGTGGAAAGTGGTGTCAAGAGTATTGTTAAAATTGTCATGGCTTAGAAGTTATTCCAAAAAGTTGATTTTCATACTGTTTGTACTGGGTGCCGAAAATGATTTGATTTTTAAGTTCTTTTTTTCTTATATATATATATTGGAGAACGTTTTTTTTTTTTTTCCCCAAAATTATGCACATATGATTAAATTTCATAGAACCAAAATTTACCATCTTTCTGTTTGTGAAGGAGCCATTTCCTATGGGTACCAATATTAGGTCAAGATTGGGCAAACCTCGAAGTGTTGGTAATGAGGAGAGCCATCGCCAAGGGATCCCGTCAGCTTCTACAAATGGAGAGGAATCTCCCAATGGATCGGATTCTTCAGGTTCTTTGAAGGACTTGGATTGAGTAATCTGCTTAACCAAGGCACTAACTGTAAAACCCCATATCAGAGTATAAAAGCTATATCCATCCCAATTCTGTATATCAGGGGTGGCCTGACGACTTTTTCCAGCTAATAGAGGAGCACTTTCAGGGTTTTGGAACAAAAACAAAGTGGGCTACTTGCCAAATTTTGCTGTTTGTTTTGACAATTTTTGTGTCACTGCCGAATTATGAGTATAGAGCATCACTTGATAGAGCTTAAAATTTTGGATTAATAGTCTTGACTAAAGAAAGTTATGAACTTATGATGTACAGAAGTCCCTGGGCATTTGCATGAGTGTGGGGATCTTCTCTGTTTTTGTTTTCAATTTTGTATCCCAATGCCTCTTATGTAATTTCATTTTTTCCCTTGAGGTTTTGGAGGCTTGGGTGTGATTGCTCAAGGAGAGAGAGAGAGTAATCTGTTTGTTGGATATTTTTTAGTGCTCTTGTCCACTAAATTATATGTACTTTCTTCATCAATATCTCCAATTAATTTTTGATGAACTCATGTCGCCTCTGATGAGATGAGTCCCATCCATTTAAAGTTTTACATTCATTGCTCACCCAATCAAGTAGATCACTTTGACGATTGATGCTACATAACCGACATTTCTTTCTTAATTTCGTATAAAACTTCTGAGCAGACATGGTGAAAATTGTGTTTTATAAAATCAATACTGTTATAATTTGCAACATGGTGTCCCCAGAAGACGAGATGCAGAAATATGAACATTTGTTATATTATTATTATTTTTTGGTTTTAAAATGGATTTATTTGTAATTACCTTTAATTTTCTTTTAAAATGTCAAAATGATTATTTTATTTATTGTAACAGAATTACATAAGAATATTGTTATAGTTTACTGTTGATAGTATCAAACTCTTCCATTTCCCTAGCAGCCAAACGGAGGTTCGAAAAGAAATGCAAAGAAGGATATTAGTTCAAATCTCTTACTCAAACAAACTGAACAACTTCCGATTCACTAAAAACGCGTTTGCTTCATACAAAACCCAAAACCTAAACCTTAGCGGAGATGCAGATGATTCTCTGTACTCAGACGTACCGAAACCTCGCAGGGACAAATCGGAGAGAAAGCCATATCCCACACCCATGAAGGTGTTGATACAGAGAGCTAAAGCGGAGAGAGAAGCTAGAAAATCACAGCCTGTTCAGCTACTTGAACATCCACCTGCCAACGGCTTATTGGTCCCTGAACTTGTCCCCGTCGCTCACCAAGTCTATTCAGCTTATCAATCTCTTCTCTCTGGTTTGTCAAAGCTCGTTAAAGTTATTCCCTTTCAACGCTGTAGGTAATGCAATTATTCAAATATACGCCGTCTGGCTCTATTTACTTTCAGATTAATAGATGTGATAACTAATTAGGAGAAATTTAATTTGATTTTATGTCAACATTTAGAAAGATTTTATTACCCTTTATGTGATTATTTTTATTTGAAGGTTATTTTGTTATTCAGGTTCTGTTCTGAGGTTCACGTTGGTCATGTGGGTCATGAAATACGAACCTGCGCTGGTCCAAAAAGCGGTTTTCGAAGTGCTACACATGTTTGGAGAAAAGGGGGAGTTTGTGATGTGGTGTTCTTCCCCGAGTGCTTCCATCTCCATGATCGTGTTGGGAAGTCAAGAGTTGTTCATTGCGAGAAGGATAGTGTCCCAAGGCTACCTGCCATTGTAGAGCTCTGTATACAGGCCGGTGTAGACCTTGAAAGGTACCCTACAAAGAGAAGAACAAAACCTGTCTATTCTATTGAAGGAAGAATTGTAGATTTTGATTCTGTGATAGAGAATGATGAAACAGAAAGAAACTTAATTTTAAAAGATAATCATCATATAAAGCCTAATTTTGGTGCTAAGAATGATGGATCTGAAAGCAGTTCAAATTTAGAGAAGAAAGGTGATTGGGTGGATCAATCGAATGATCAAGAGGGGAAGGATTTAAGAAAGTTGAGCATTAGGACAATGGACTCATGGTTTGAAATGATATCAGGAGTGAAGAAGATCATGGAGAAGTACAGTGTATGGACCTGTGGATATTGTCCTGAGGTCCAGGTTGGTCCCAAGGGACACAAGTTAAGAATGTGTAGAGCATCAAAACACCAGTCTCGTAATGGATTGCATGCATGGCAGGAAGCAACGATTGATGATCTTGTCGGTCCGAATTATGTCTGGCATGTTCGAGATCTTAATGGTCCTGCTTTGGAGAACAACTTGAAGAGGTTTTATGGCAAGGCCCCAGCTATTGTAGAGCTGTGTGTGCATGGTGGTGCTCCAGTTCCTGATCAATATAGAAGTATGATGAGATTAGATGTGGTTCCTCCTCAACGTGATGAAGTTGATCTTGTTGCTTGAAATGATTTTCCTTTAAACCTGATGTTTTATATATCTTGACTATTAGGCTCCTGATGTTAACCTTTTTGAGGTTATTGGAAATATTGCTTTATAGGGTTAAGTTGATTGTTAGTGCTGTGTATGTAGACAAGCTTTGACAAGTTGGTCTCAGCCTTCATATGTTCGGTGGTCTGATCTCAGCTTGGTCTAGGTGTGCCTCTTTTAGTCTGACCCCGATGCCCACATTTTGATTTCTTATGCTTCGATATGGTGTCTTATTTCAGCTCTCTTTGTTCAAATAGGCAATATATATGATGAGGATATGGATCCGGATACAGATGATCATTTCTCTGGTTTAGAAGTCTAAGCTTCAGACTAATGTTGCCAATGCAGTAATTGTGCCTAATGAATTGGATTTAACTTGCACGGACAAGCATGAAGAACCATTGGTTGCTCTATTTATGCATGTTGAAGAAGTAGAGACTCACTGTTGATTATAGGTGGTTTGTTAATACTCCCCTGCTTATGGAGTTTTGAGAAATCCATGCTTCTTAGAGATTGATTGGTAAGAATTTATCAAGCAAACTTTTCTCTGTTGAATACTTACAGCAATGGGGCCCTTTTGAGTCCTTAAATTGATGTATACTTGCATCAGAAATTGTTCTTCCTGAAAGAAAAAAGAGAAATTCCTTCAAAAAATATATTAGGTTTGCATTTATCATGTGATTGGGGTAGATGAATTGGTAGAAGCACTTTTTAGTTTTTACATTGTGACTCAATCTCAAAGTAAGAAAGTGCACTTTGAGCCTTAATGGGCTACTGATATTGACAAGTATATTGGCTCCGATAATGCACCTTAATTCAACAGAGTTTGACAGTGGCCTCTGAAGTCTGAACTTCAATGAAGTTCATCTTGGAAGAATGCATTGTTTACCTGTTAAGCAGCCATGAACGTACACAATTGTGGCAGAAGTTACTGAAGTTTGATAAATTAAGCAGATAGAGAGAGATAATAAGTCAAAAGCTTTTTGGATTATTGTGATCAATGTTATCATACCTACATTTTTTTGGAGGCTGCTCTCACCAGGAGAAGTTGTTGTCCATGTGTTGAGCAAACCTTTGGCCTTTGCATGTGGGGTGGGGCGGTTATTGTAAGTTGTTGGTCATGGATCTGAGATGGCACTTGTTCAACTGGGAGTTGGCAATGATACGAAGTGGTTCCAATACTAGATATTGTATTCAACATAACATAAGTATGAATTTAGTTAATTATTTTGTTAAAAATAATACCCAATTCAATACTTACTTTATCGGTAACGAACAGTTGCAAAAGAAAAAGAAAAAGCAATTCTAATGGAAACAAATATTGAATGATTTGTTGAAGATTAAGGACTTGGAAATTGAAATTCATAAGGTTAATTTGTTTTCGTGATTCAGAGATTTAAATGAAGATGGGAAGATAATTAGCCTCATTATTAATATACATATATTTAATTATATAAAAAAAAATGATAATTTTTCTTTTTTAATTTGGGAGAGAATAACATGAAAAGGCTTTGCAAGGGTTCAGATCGATAATATAAATACAATTAGTCAATAACCGATTCTTGATTTCATTTCCTCCGCTAACATATCAACATCAATACCTTGTCTCGACTCTCGACTCTTGAGTACGCTGTGAAAGAAACTGCTGTACCAAACACAAACGGAGAGAAGGAAGCCAGTACAAATACAAATGAGCGAGGTGTTCTTGAAAAAGTCGAAGCATGAAGAAGAAGAAAACGGTGGAGAGAACAGCAGAGAAGAGCAAGAAGAGCAAGAAGAGGCATTTGTTGCTTTGATCGAACACCGTACCAAAGAAGTTGAGCATCTCAAACAGCGTATCTCCTATTACAAATCTCAGGTTGTTGCAGTTCTATTTTTCTCGATAATTTTCTTTTTCTTTTCTGTTATTTTCTTCGTATTAATTTAATGACATTTCTATGGTTTCTTACGTATTTGTAAATGATTATCGTGAATTTGTCACTGTGAAATTCGTGCTAAAGTTTGGATTTTAGATCCTGAAATTGTTATTTGATACTAAAGTTTGACGAAAAGTTTACACTTGGAAGTTCTTTAACTTTTAGAAATTTAAAGCATAAACATTTAGATATCTGTGTTTTGGTTAACTAGAAAGAATGTTCAATAAAGGAGTTCTTTAACTTTTAAACATTTAAGGCATAAGCATTTAGTTACGTGTGTTTTGGTTGACTAGAAAGAATGTACAAGAAAGGAGTTTACTTTTTTTTTTTTTTTTTCCTTAAGAATGAAGTAGAAACTTGTGAAGATTTAGGTTCATCTTCTCTTTTATGAGGTTAAAAAACGGTAGCAGTTATTCTGCTTTTAGTACGAGTTTTCAACAAGGGAACTGAGTTTTAATTGATTGTTGTCATGGTTTACTTTATTTGTGTTGTATTTAGGGCAAGGATTGAGTTTTTAATATGAAGCTTTTGTTCGTGTTTTGCTTTAGTATTTTTTTATTTTTTCGAGGATAATAGCTACTAATTATATATTTGAAAAAGGCGTGCAGCTTGATGAAGCAGAGAAGAGGTTGCAAGATTCACAATCTAAATTGGCTCATCTTCGAGGCCGAGATAAGGCAGTGTCGTCTAGAAGTTCTCCGGCTAATGGAACTAAAAATGTTAAGGTGGAGCGGAGATCAATCAGTCCTGTTCGTGTTGATGAAGATCCTTCTAGAAGCCAACCTCAATCTAGAACGGAACTGGTAATTCCTGCTGTGAATCCCAAGATTTCTCAGCCCATAAAATCAACATGGTCTGGCATGAGAGATCCTGTTGGGTCCAGTGCTCAAGGAAGTCCTGCCTCTCACCCCAACAGTGTTGTAAAAGGGGAAAAATCCTATAGAAATTCTCGTGATACAGAAGTTGTTGATGTTCAAGATAGAGGAACAAAAAGGAAATTTGGTAATATTCTCACCTGTTGAATTGTAATGCATTATAAGTGTGTGTGTTTCCCAGGATTAAATGTTGGCCTCCGCTTTTGGTCAAGTGTTTTTCCGTCATGGTTTAAATTATATGTTATTGATGTTCATGCACTCTCTTTTTTCTTGGCTGTATTTCAGAGCAGAAAGAACATAAAGAATTGATCCCACTGGTGCAAAGCAGCTCTTCACCTTGCACAATTCGCTGTCATACGAGCAACCACATCTCTAGTCAGCACAAAAGAAAGTTGAGAAGTCTTTCGTTGTGCCCAGTGAATGATCAGCTTTTTGTGACCAGGTAATTAGGTGTTTCATTAGAGAGGGTATGGCAATATCAACTGAATATTATGCTGTGATGAGACCCCAGCAGCCACAATCGAAAACACACACAGCACAACCAACAATCAAAGAACAACCAAGATCAACAAATGTGTATTGATTCAAAGTTAAACCAAGTGCTGGAGTCACAGTCAGACCCAACCAGTAGCAAAAACAAAGAGAGGATAGTTCCTATCAATTCGAGCAGCTAGGGGCCTCCATTGACAACTTTAGAGAATAATTTGCTTAGCCTATTCCCAATTCTAACTGTTTGTATATACTAGTGACCTTTTCCCATATTCCCTCCATACACAATAGTGCCATGTGTATTTCCTGCCATGTGTATTTCCTATAACTATATCCCACTGGCCCAACAAACCTTAGTGTTTATTCACACTCCTCACACCCTCCTGCCCTTTGTGCCCCTTGTATTGATAAACCTTAGTAATAGGGGGCCTATCAATACCCCCCCTTGAAGAGCCACCTTGTCCTCAAGGTGGAAATGAGGAAACTGGAGGTTGATGATGTCGTAGGCTTCCCAAATAGCTTCAAAGGAGGGCAGGTTCTGCCATCGTATAAGAACCTCTTTAGTACCATCCAACAAAGAATGGACTGCCAGAACTGATTCAGGCTGGACAATCAGTTCCAAGTCCTCGGTGAGACAAGGAGGAAGTGGCTGGATGGGAATGGAGCTGTGCAAGCTACGTTTGAGTTGAGAAACATGGAAAACCTGATGAATACGAGCAGTGGAAGGCAGATCCAGCCGATAGGCAACCTGTCCAATTCGTTCTAAGACGGGAAAAGGACCATAAAAGCGGGGACTCAATTTCTCATTATGTTTCCTGGCCAAGGACTTAAACCGGTAAGGCCGGAGCTTCAAAAACACGTGATCCCTAGGCTGAAATGTAACATCCCGGTGGTGTACATCTGCACTCTCTTTCATATGCCCTTCAGCGATGGATAAATTATGTTTAAGCTCCTCCAAGATGGAATTACGTTCGAACATCTGTTGATTCACTTCCTCCACCGATGACGGGCAATCTGTGAACTTGAGTAGAGTAAGAGGATCCCTGCCGTCTAAAACCTTGAAAGGGGTCATCCGAGTCGAACTGTGGTAAGTCGTATTGTACCAAAATTCCGCCCAAGAAAGCCAACAGGACCAATGCTTGGCTTTAGAGCTACAAAAACACCGCAAATAGGCCTTCACACACCGATTTACCACCTCAGTTTGGCCATTTGTCTGTGGGTGTTAGGCCAAATTGAATTTCAATGTAGTGCCAGATGCTTTGAAGAGTTCTTGCCAAAATTGGTTGATAAAAATCCTACCCTTGTCGGACACAATAGACTTCGGAAACCCACTGAGCCTCACAATTTTTGATACAAAAACAACTACTACATCTTTAGCACTATAGGGATGTCAAAAGAGGATGAAGTGGCTATACTTAGTGAGTCTGTCGACCACCACTAGGATAGTATCGTGTCCCCAAGACTTAGGTAGTCCTCAAATGAAATCCATGCTAATATCCTTAAATACTTGGGTAGGGATGGGTAAGGGTTGGAGAAGGCCTGCTGGTTTAAGGGTTGAGTGTTTATTGAGTTGGCAAATAGTGCATCTCTTCACAAATTCTTGAACGTCCCCCTTGATCCCTTCCCAAAAGACAAGGCTGGCCACCCTTTTATAAGTGCGAAAGAAACCCGAATGCCCCCCACTTGGGCTACAATGAAACTCCTCTAGCAACTTGGGGATGAACTTGGAGAACTTGGGAAGAACAATCCTCTTTTTGTAAAGTAGACAGCCTTTTCGAAGTTGTTAGTGGGTTCTACTGGTGGGGCGAATAAGAGATCTTGCATAATGATTTGAAGCTTAGGGCCTTGTTGAGCTTCGGCAGCTAACTCATCAAAGTCTGAAAATTGGACCATTAATATGGCAGCCATCTCACCTACGTCCTCTCTACGACACAATGCATCTGCCACTTGGTTGGGGATCCCGATTGGTAGTGAATTTCGAAAGAGAATCCCATGAGTTTCGAAATCCACTTTTGCTGTTCCGGTGTCTTCACTCGCTGGTTAGTCAAGAACTTAGACTACGCTGGTCCGTCTTTATAATGAACTTGCGCCTAATAAGGTAGTGACTCTATTTGTGGATAGTGAACACTATGGCCATGAGTTCCCGTTCATACATAGATTTCTGCTTTGATTGGCAAGAAAAAGTTTTACTAAGAAAGGCAATTGGGCGTGATTTTTGGACCAGGACAGCCCCCATCCCTTGCCTAGAAGCGTTGGTGTGTACTTCGAAGGGTAAGTCAAAATCAAGTATGGCTAGCACCAGAACCGTTGTCATTGTTGTTTTGAGGGCCTCAAAGGCTTGTTGAGTTGTCTCATCCCATGTAAAAGAATCCTTCTGAAGTAGCTGTGTTAAAGGTTGAGCAATCAGTCCATATCTCTTTACAAAGCAACGGTGGTAACCCGTTAGCCCCAAGAATCCCCTTAAACCTTTTATAGTGCGGGGGCTGGCCAAGATAACATTGAGTCAATCTCTTGCAGATCAGCTTCCACCCCCTTGGCTGAAATCAGGTGGCCTAAGTATTCGAGTTTCTGTTGTGCGAATAGACACTTCTTGCGGTTGACGACCAACTCATTTGCCTTAAGAATCTGAAAAACTTGTCTAAGGTGCTCCAAATGGGTGTGCAAGTTGGGGCTGTAGATAAGTATATTGTAAAACAAAACCAGGACGAACTTCCTTAAAATTGACTTGAAGATAGTATTTATTAAAGCCTGAAAAGTGGAGGGGGCATTTGTTAAATTGAAGGGCATAACTAGGAACTCATAATGCCCCTCATGAGTCCGAAAAGCTGTCTTAGCTATGTCCTCCTCCCTTACTCTGATCTGGTGGTACCCCGGATTTCAAATCCAACTTAGTGAAAATCGTTGGTCTTACATGTTCATCCAACAACTCTTCGATTGAGGGAAAGGGGAACTTATCTAGGATAGTGAGACTGTTCAGGGCGCGGTAGTCAACACAGAAGCGCCAGCTCCTGTCTTTCTTTTTCACCAGTAAAATAGGGTTGGAAAAAGGGCTTGTACTTGGTTGAATTATTCCCGCTATCAGCATCTCCCCAACCAATCTCTCAATTTTGTTTTTCTGGATGTAAGGGTACTTGTAGGGACATATGCTAGGAGGTTTGGCCCCATCCTGGAGGATTATGGGATGGTCTGTGGATCTTTTGGGAGGTAGTTTGGTAGGTTGGTCAAAGACTTGGTTGAACTCTTCCACCACTTCCTAGACTCTAGGTTCAATTGGCTCAACTTCCTTAGCTGTTTTGTTCTCTATGGAACAAAATTCGACCACATACCTAACCCCTTTATTCTGTATCGATTTCAGCATGGCTTTGAGTGAGACAACTATTGTGACCAAAGAAGGATCTCCCCTTAACATGACCTTTTTTCCTTCTCTGGCAAAATCCATGGTCAGGTTTTTCTAGTTAGCACACACATCTCCCAGAGTGCTCAATACGCAACTCCCAACACAACGTCGGCTCCGCCTAATTCAAAGGGAAAAAATCTTGTTGTATCTCAATCCTCTGTTCCCATTAGACCTCTAAGCTTAAGAGTCTTGTCTGAAGTCATCCCCACGATAGAGTTCATTGGCAAAGCAAAAATATTACCTTCTAAGATTGGTTCATTGTTGGCTTCTGGTGGTGTCTCCTCTTTCTTCATCTCCTCTTCATCTTCCAAAATCAACAAAACCTGTAGATATTTATTTCTACACCAGTGGTTTGGCCCAAACTTCTCATCACAACGGAAACACAATCCCTTCTCTTGTTTGTACTAGGGCTGCGAAAAATAGTCCGGAAACCGAACCGAACCGGCGAACCGAACCGAAACCGGTTCGGAAAACCAGTTTCGGTTTGGAAAATAGGCCAAACTGCTTTTTTGGTTTGGTCTATTTTCCAAACCGGTTAACCGAAACCAGTTATCCTTAAAACCTAAAAGGTTAATATTGTAAATTGTAATAAGTCTAAGCCCTAAAGAGTAAAGAGTAAAGTAAAGTCAAACTTAACTAATAGTGTAAAACCATATTATATTACTAAAAAGGTAGAAAGTGTAAAAATAAATCCCTAAAAGCTAACACTTTACACAACAGACTCTCTTCTTCTCGCCGTCACCTACCATGGTTTCTTCTCCATTTTTGCCATCATCTACTCACCTTCTCTTCTCCGTTCTCAAACTAAAATTAAATCCCTAAGGCCTAATTACACTACAAACTCTCTTTCTCGCCATCACCTATTCTGCTACTCAGTACCCACCTTCTCTTCTCCATTTTGCTGCCATCTATTCACCTTCTCTTCTCCATCGTCGTCGACTCGTCGCCTTCTCGTGTTCACCATTCTCGACGTCACCATCCATACTCCAAATCACTCCATTGGAAATTTGGTTTGCTGTTTTTAGGTTTTTGTAAACTTTTTATGTATTTATAATGGTGGTGATTGGTGAAAATGTTTGTAAGAGCCAAGAGGTGTTGGTACTTGGTTGTGTTTGGTGGCTGCTGGAATATTTGATGTTGGCTGCATTGTATTGTTTTGGCTGCTGCCTGTTGTAAATGTTGCTAAGTATTATTGTATTTGGATTTTGGCTGCTGGAAAATGGAAATCCTGTTATGTATTTGGCTCCATTGTTTTGGTTGCATTACTTTAGTTTAACAATCTTTTTATGTTGTTGGCTTGCTGCATTGTTTTGGTACTACTACTAGGACGAACACTTTTGGCTGAATTCAATGCAAATGCTTTAGTTTTGATTTCAATTTTAAGATTATTCATATAGATTACATATAATTATAGAGATTACTTACAATTTTTGTGAAAATGGTCTTTTTATGTTATTTGTTAATTGTTTTTAGAGATGAGAAATTGGTATATTCTTAAATTAAAATAAAATTTAATATTTTTTGCAAAAACCGATTTATAAACCGGTTAACCGTTAACCGAACTGAAAATTCAAT